AGAGAGTGGATATTCCTAATATGCTCATCTCGGGGCATGGCAGTGCTGCGAGTACATAAGCTCCAGTCACCTGCTGGTTTGCAGGAGACAGCCAATCAGATAAAAGCTGCCTTAAAGGGAGACGGCTTGTTTCAAACACCGAGTCCCTGATAAAGTAAATGAGGATTATTTTGAGCTGTGGATCATACAAAGCTGTATTATCTTTAATCTTAAAGCATCACCACATCATTTATCTGTCAAATCTGTTTCCATAACTTATTATTTAGCAGTTACTTACTTAACAGTTATTTACTAACTGTTATCTTTTCAAGCAGCAACATATGAATATATGTAACTTTCCACTTTGATGTTTTTAATGTACAAACATATCTAATCAGTATATAATAGTATTTTAGCATTTAGTGCAGTATTTAGCACTTGTTTCCCCTCTGTGGTGCAGTATAAGGGTTATATTTTATTTTAACATGTTGGCTTTAAAATTTAATCTGACATTTATTCCAAAACGTGCATATATTGCATAAATAAATGTAACACTTCTTATAGTTTAAATTCTCTCCTTACATTTCTGCATGTATTATGCGCAGCATAATTCTGCTTAAAGCATAGCCTTGTTCGTTATCTTTTGTTTCCTCCAATCCTCAATATAAAAGACGAAAAGAAAGAAAAAGTACAAGGACAACATACAAATATCAAAAGAAATCAGCACAGAAAAATGAAAATGAAATAAATAAATAAAACCTCATCTCCCAAAAGCTGAGGAGCCTGCAGCATGAGAGGCTTAAATGCTGTCAAATCAGAGGGATGAGATCAGTTTGGATGTAGGAAGAGGAGGAAAGCATACAAATTGTTAAGAGAGGTGAGAGATGGGCACTTTTAACACACTTAGAGTGTATGTGAAGAATGAGGGAGGGGCTTCTGAAGAAAATGGAGAGAGAACTGATGGTCTGATAAGCTGAGGGATGAGAGTTGCTTAGTTCAAAAAGGAAGAACTGCTGAGCCAAACAGAAAACAGGATCATTTCTGTTTGTGTGGCATTAAGTCTGTAAAATAAGAGAAGTAAGTGAGGACAAAGGTAAGGCCTGCAATGCTTCATCAGAAAATCCATCGTTTGGTTAATTACTGTAGTTTTTTCTAATGCCGGTGTGACATACTATTACTGCTGTTACTGGTTTAGTCAGGTGTGTTAGGCTGTGTTTTCACAGATTGACACTGAAATAAGGAATTTTAGTTCTTCAGCTTTGTTACTGTTCTTTAAGCAGCATTAGCGAAACCTTGAGGAAAACATTATTTAAATTGTGATGCTCACAAAGCATTCATGCAAGAGATTATATGTGGTTTGTAAACTTTCACAGCCCTAGTCTCAGAGCTTCTGCTTCCATTGTGCCATAATGGCCCCTTTAAAAAATGTGTTACCTCTATTTAG